CTCCCTCGCCTTCTCTCCTTGGATCTCATCTCCTCACCCCTTCCTTCGGCCAGGCCTCCCTTCCATGGGGATATTCTTGTGCCCCACTCCCGTCCGCGCCTCCAGCCCCTGGCTTTCTGGGTCTCCGCTTTGGGTGACGCACACCCTACGCAGGCCCCTTCCGCCTTAAGTAGTCGGCCCTCTGCAACCCCTCCCATCCTCTTCCTCACCTGCTGGCCCTGAGCCCTCACCCCCTCTCACCCGCAGGGGGTCCCCTGAGGAGTTAGGCTGAGGGCTCTGGTTCTCAGACCGGAAAATTAGTTCCCCGCTGGTCATGAACGCTCCCACCCTCTCCCCTTAGAGCAGCGGTTCTCACCTTGGCCGCACATGAGAATCACCTGGGCATCTGTTTAAAATCCTGATTTCCGGGCCTCCTTCTCCGGAAATTCTGTTTCTTTGTGATGGGGCGGGGCCACAGCATGAGTAACGAAGAAACAGAATTTCCGGAGGATGAGGCCCGGAAATCAGGATTTTAAACAGATTCCCAGGTGATTCTCATGTGCAGCCAAGGTTGAGAACCACCGGCTTAGAGGAACCTAGACCTGCCCTGTCCACACGCCTGGATCTGGGGGGAGCACAGACCCCTCTCCCCTCTCCGAGCTGCTGCCCCCTCGCTGCCGGCCCCGCGGAGCCTGGTCCTTACACTCAGGAAGGCGGGAGCCCGGGCCTCACGGTCAGGAAGGCGGAGCCTTGACGCCAGCAGCCATTCCAACCTGGCAACCGTTTCCCGGGCTCAGGCCTTTCCAATCACTGTTCAGAACCGCTGGCACGCCCAGGCCTTACGAGACTGAGAGGTGGGGGGACTGAGAAAGACAAAAAAATAAGGAAAAAGAGAACTCAGGGCCGCGGGCACCAGTGTGAGGACTTCAGGAGGAGGGCATCGCGGGGGTAGAGGGAGATGGAAAAACAAAATAAAATAACGAAGAACGAGGCAGGTGGTAAACAAAGGGTCCCAGGTACATGGTCTTGTCGGATTTAAAAAGTCACTTGAAAACACTCAATCTGGCCTGGCCGGTTTGGCTCAGTGGACAGAGCGTCGGCCTGTGGGCTGAAGGGTCCGGGTTCAGTTCCCGTCAAGGGCACATGTCTCCATTGCAGGCTCGATCCCCGGCACGTGCAGGAGGCAACCAATTGATGTCTTTCTCACATCGATGTCTCCCTCTCTCTCTCCCCTTCCCTCCCACTCTCTCTAAAAATCAACAGAAAAATATCCTCGGGTGAGGATTCAAACAAACAAACAAACAAAGGAGAAAACATTAACAAACCAAAAAGCACACTCAGTGGGGCAGAGCCTGAGGGTTGCAGACCGGATGCTCAGGATTCCGTTCACAGCCCCCTCCCGCCCCCCGCCCAGCTCCCAGGGCCGGTGAAGCCGGGGGTCGGTTGGAGTTGGGCCCAGGTCAGAGCCACGGAAACGCAAGCCTGAGCCCAGGCCCCGGGCATGGAAAGCAGAGGCCTGTGCACTGTTTGCCTTCGGAGAACACGGGCAGGGCGGCCAGGGAGGCGCAGAGAAGCCGAGGACTTGACCTGTGTCCCCAGAGAGGAGAGGGTGGCGGCCTCATCACCCCTCCACTTCCTGCGACCCTGCCGGTAACAGTCCACTCCCCTCAGGTCCCTGTCCCCTCGGCTGACTTGCGTGGGTTTCTGTCCTGGGAAACAGATCACTTCCAAGTCAGACATGGGCCCGGAAGATCGAGTTGAAACAACTTTGAAACAACAGACCTTCCGAGTAAATGCTGGCTCCGCTGGGAGATGCCTCGGGGCGTGATGGGTGGTCAGGGTTCCCGCCCCACAGGGTTCCCGGGGCGGGGGCTGTACCAGCAGCTCATTCATGTTCTTTTAAAAATATACATATTTTTACTGATGTCCGAGAGAGGAAGGGAGACGCAGAAACATCAATGATGAATCATGGATTACAATAAAATAAAAATAAAAGGAAGTGAATTGACTGGCAAAAAAAAAAAATAGGTGACAAATTGGGGCAAGTAATTGCAGTTACGCCCTAAACACTGACACGTGAAGAGTCCAATGAAGCCACAGGACGGGGTGGGCCTCCGCTGCTTCCGGCCACGACGGAATCACAGGGTCCAGGCGACCCTCCAGCTGAACAGTGTTTAAAAAGGGGGAGATACACAAACCGGCAGCTTTTAGCCATTTTGAGAGAGAGGGGAGCCCAGCGGGAGGCCAGGCCACATGCTGCAGCCCAGCGTGGCTCTGAGCGGAAGGGCCACCGCGGGTTGTGGAGGGGGCGTGGCCGCTGGACTGACAGGGCGGAGAACCAATCAGAGAGGAGGAGGCGGGGCTCCCTGGTCTCCCGGGTTTTCCGCTGAGCACGTGCGAACCGGAGGCCGCGACCCAGGCAGGCGGGTGCTCCGCTCACCTGCCCGGTGAGGCTCCAGGCGCCCGGCCAGCTGCCATCCTTTACCCGTGAATTCGGAAAGGAGCCCAGAGCAACGCGCCCTGCCGTGTTCCCACCTCAGGCCGAGATGTGGGCACTGCCGCGGGCCATCCTTCTTTTCCATCCGTGAGAATTCAGGCCCGGGCTGCACACAGAGCAAGAACTGGAAACGGCGGTCCAGGCTCCTCAGCCCCTTCCGGGAGCAGCTGCGGAGGAGCGCGGGCTCCGTGCGGGATGCGCTTAAGGCTGCCGACTGCGCACGGGAGCACGACCTTCCCCCCCTCCGCCTGTCACCCCGGGAGCCGGGGCTGAGCGCCGGGCAGCGCTCGGAGCTGTAAGGGTTCCCTTTCCCCGGGGATAAAGGCGATCGGCCGGCCCGCAGGTGCCCGGGGAGCTTACAGTGGCTGTGGGGGGACGGGTAGCCCATGGTGCCGCCCAGGGTGAGCGCATGGCTGTGAGGACTGTGCCTGCGCAGCAGGTGAAAAGACAAGGTTCCTTTTTTATCTAGTTTAATGGTTATTCAACAACAAAACTGTTTTCTCTATTTTTACATTTGCGGACATGATTTCCTGGGTTGCAGGAGATTTTGTTTTTATTTTATTTTTTAACTGTGTAATATATATGTGTTTTGATTTCACAGAGGAAGGGAGAGGGAGAGACAGAAACATCCATGATGAGAGAGAAGCATGGATCGGCTGCCTCCTGCACGCCCCCTACTGGGGAGTGAGCCCGAAACCCAGGCATGTGCTCTTAACAGTGGTTCTCAACCTTCCTAATGCCGACCCTTTAATGCAGCTCCTCATGTTTTGGTGACACCCAACCATAAAATTACTTTCGTTGCTGCTTCATAACTGTAATTTTGCTACTGTTATGAATCGTCATGTACATATCTGATATGCAGGATGTATTTTCATTGTTCGAGACCCACAGGTTGAGAACTGCTGCCTTAACAGGATTCAAACCCGGAACCCTTCAGTCTGCAGTCCTACGCTCTATCCACTTAGCCAAACCGGCCAGGGCAGGAGATTTTACTTTTAATCCCGCCCCCTCCCCATCAGCTTATTTTTTTTTTTTTTTAATATATATTTTATTGATTTTTTACAGAGAGCAAGGGAGAGAGATAGAGAGTTAGAAACATCAATGAGAGAGAAACATCAACCAGCCACCTCCTGCACATCTACTGGGGATGTGCCCGCAGCCCAGGCACAGGCCCCCGACCGGAATCGC